TCTGACAGCTGCTTTCTCATCCTGCTGCCTGAAATTGAATCAACTTAATTATTCCTGTGGCCATGTACAACCAGATGGCTTAGAGTTGCCTCTTTATCGCTGGGTACAGTAACTGTCCTTGTGTTCTGGAATAGTTAAGATTGAAAACTGGGGTTTCTTTGTAATTCCAGAGTACACAGACTGTAATAGAAGAAATGGTCTGGAATTTGAGAATCTCTGATCAATGGTTAGGTTGTGCCAGCACTGAGTTTAAATTTGCTTGTGTAGGATGACATGTTTGGATTAATATTCTAAATTAATGTGGAGTGAAGGCTTGTGACCAAGAGGCTAGTGTAGTAAATTCACAGACTGAAATATATGGTGATAGTGGGGAAAACCAGCATTAAATTATCTTCTAAGAACCTTGAAGTCTCTCAGGATGACTCTTCTGAGTACTCTGAAAATATAACCATTGATCTAGTTAAGACAATTTATCCTTTAGAACAGTCTACAGAATTGCCTTGAATTACCTCGTGCACACGTTAAACATGTAAAGTTTTCATTAAAGGGGTTGGCAGGTTTCTTGTAAACTGAAGTCATTTGTTTTCCCTTCAGAGTAAGATTTTCTTTATGGCCTTCTTTGTCAGTAGGCACTGGTCATTAAAAATGATTCGGCCATTTCACTCTACAACCTTATTTTTGCCTGCTCTGTGGATTTAACCAAAGGAAATCCCTTTGTGACTGAAATTATCAGGCTGGATCTCAATCATCATGTGATGTTTTCTCCTTCATTTTTTTACCCTTTATAAATCAAGCTGCTGCTTTTCAGGAACATTCAGATAGGATGATAACTAGAAAATTAGATAGGAAGAAAACTAGATATGAATTCTTGACAACCAATTTACAAAGAGATGTACTTCCTCCAGTTTTCTGTGTGTTGGCTTGTTGATTTTTGAATGGTCAATGTGGAAAAGGTAGTGAATGAAGCCTTAAAACTTCTTCCATCTCAGATGCTTCAAGCCTGGTTGTAGAGGGGGTCTCTGGATATAGCACAGTTTTATCAAGAGGTCATCAGATAAAAAGGACATGATTTAAAGCAAACCTGCCCTCTGAAACACTCGTTTCTCAGTAAGAGTAGCAAAGTGTAATGTAATTAAAACAACTGTCTCCAGTGCTTATGTACAATCACATTGAGTAGATACCCTTAGTTTCATTGTAAGGTCAGACACACGAGGAGGAAGGGTTGTTGCTGTCTCTCAGAGAGCAGTAATCAAGGGCTGGCAACTCAGCTTTGGCAATTGAACAGATTAGAAGTTCTTGGCAGTGATTCCCAAATGCTCAGGAGACTCAACGCAATCAGCAGCTTTGACATTTTGGCCAGCTAGTTAAATAGTGTTGGCTATAAACATTACAAGGCAAGTGATCACCCCCTTATGTGCTGGGCCTAGGGGCATACGCTTCCTCCTTCTGTCTCGGGAGCAAGGGGAGCCTCTAAACCAAGGAGCTCTTTGATGATACCCTGTGAATAACTCTCCAGATCATAGCAAAGAGGAATTTGCATAGTTTGCATGTTAACCACAACAGTGAGTATCAGAGAAGGGAGACAAGTGCTTATACAGTATTTTGCAACTAAGCATAAATGACAGCACCCTGATTCTACTCAACTTGAATTCCTTTGCATTATTTAGTGAAGGATGAGCCTTGCTTCATATGGATGGTTCAGAGATCAGACTGAGGAGATGATCCCCATATATTCAGTTCCCTAAAATACAGTATTTATTTGTTTGTTTGTTTCTCCATTTATTTTATGGGAAAAACTACTCAAAGAGGCAGTTTCCCTGGTGTGAGTGCCTGAATTTAGGAAACAATCTATATGTAAGCAAGAAAATATCAGATCTGTACAGATATTTGAGTGCATGGAACCAAAGCTGCATGCACGCGTAAACAATTGCAGGAATATATTTGCTTGCAAATCTGGTCTAGTGCTGAAGACTCAAGGTGATATGATAGTGATAGTTAATACAGCAGTGTAGTACGGTTAATTTAACACTTATACTATGCCTATCTGTTTGAAATTGCAGTTATTTGTTGCTTTCTAATGGCCAGGGAATTTGATCCCATGAGCAGTGGCAGGGCTTACAAGTTTGAATTAAGCTACCTGGTTTTGCTTGCTGCTTTTGCATGACACTGCAGAAATGATGACTGCAGGCTGACTGTAACACCACATGTAATAAAGTAGTCTGGCACAACTTCTCAGCGACTCTGAGAAAGAGGAAGTGAAGTCAACGGCTGAATGTTATGTTCTCTGTGAGGGTGAAAAGTTAAGCCCAGTTCTCCAGGAGCTCTGACAGTAGTCCTAAGAGATACCAATAGCTGAATGCATTTTCAACAGGAAAGGTTTACAGTCTCTCCCCTCTTCTCCATTCCTGGCCCTAGTCTGGTATTTAATTATAATGAATCCTAATTAATAATATATAAATATAAAAAACAAATTAAAATTAGTTAGCAGAAGTTAAGAAGACAGAAAGAGGAAGACAGAAGGTATTTTTAAACATCCAACTTGTCACCAGGATTGACTGCTCCATTTTTCCCCACTGTTCTTCAAGGACATTTCCTTCATTACATTTCCTAAGCCTGTTTAGGTATTAAGCCAAGTGAAATCAGTAGGGGTATGCTGCTCGTCTTAGGGGGCAGTGGAGTGATCCATCAACATTCAAGTGTTATGATTGTTTGGCCTTGTTCCCCCCCCTTGTTTCCTGAGGGCGACTTGGACTGATGTGGCCTGGTGAGTGCAGTCAAGGAGGCATCAGTCCCTCTAAGCAGTCAGATGGCAGCCAGGAGGAGTTAGTCTTTCAGATGGGAAAGGAGCTGATTCCCACTGGCAGACCAGCTAAGTAACTCTTCAGAGGGATTTGGCTGCATGTGGCCACCATCTGAGGACAAATAGTTCTGTATATGAGGTGAACAGTGTTGCAGGTGTAGAGTACAGAATTCAGTGTTGCGTTTTATCATCAAACTAAGTTTTGGAAGACTTGCTTGAATACACAGCAATGTACCCATTAGATTTGTAGGAGTGGATGGAGCAGAGCTCAGCTTTGGGCCAAGTTTGCAAGATTTACCAAGGGTAGGATGTAAATTGCAAGGACAGTTTCAAATTGAGGCCCCAGTCAAGTGAGCGTGGGTAGGCTGCCTCCTCCAGAGGGTGAAAATGGGACAAAGGCATTTGCTGTGCACCTGAGCCAACACCTTTGTGAGAAGTGTCATCCTCCTCTTGAAGTAGATCTCTGGGATGGATGTAGTTCCCATCCTTGAAGGAGATTATCTTCAGGTTTTTAATTGCTTAGTTTCACCTGCTGAACACAGCTAAAATGGATGCTTAGATAACGTCTGGGAAAAGTTACATCTCAGGAAGCAAAAATAGGCAAACATAGTGCAGCCAATGAGAGTTAGAAGACTGAAGCAATGCATGCGAAGCAATGAAATATTCATGTGAAAAAACACACATTTTCAGAATTATTAGGGAACCTCTGAGGGGCTGAGCTTCTCTTTTAAGATACATGGTGAAGATGAAAGAATAAAGGAAAATTAACAGTGCAGAAGAAGCTTTTGCCCTCTGTGTAGCTGTTAATTTCTGTCACACCCACTTTGATACCAGGGAGGTGTTATTGTTTCCTACTGCTTTTTAGCTGTTGGATTTGGGTGGGATCAGCTTTTCTAAGTCTGATAAATTGTGTTTTTCAGCCAACTTAAGCACAGCATCAGATAAATGTTTCAAAGTGTTTTATTTGCACCAGCACCAAGGAAATGAATCCAGAATTGCAGAGACAGACAGTAATCTGTGATATGTACTTATTTGAACTAGAGCCAAGCAATAGTTAACGGTGTCTCAGCAGTTTTCTTCTGATAAAATAATTAATATGCAGATAGATGGCTGTTGCCCAGCCATCCTTCATTCTCACTTTTTGGTTTGCATTGTTTATGGCGCTGCTTCAAAAGCAGTCCTGTAATGTCCTTCGCAAATGGGTCTCTCTCCTGACTAATGGCCTCTTCTAGGAAGTTCTCTTTCCTTCATTGTGTATGGCCATGATGTGCCTGCAGTGAGAGAATCACAGAGTGGTTGAGGTTGGAAGGGACCTCTGGAGGGTGTCTGGTCCAACCTCCCTGCTCAGGTGGGACCACCATGAGCCAGTTGCCCAGGACCATGATGGCTTTTGAGTATCTCCATGGATGGAGACTCCACAACCTCCCTGGGCAACCTGCAACAGTGTTCAGTCACTCTGACAGTGAAAAAGTGTCTTGTAATGTTCAGAGGGAACCTCCTGTAGTTCAGTGTGTGCCCATCACCTCTGGGCATAAGGAATAAGGGAAGCCACAGTTAGCAGCTTTGTGCTACTCCCTTCTGGTCAGGAGAGCGGCTCTAAGGCCCAGCATGAGAGCTGCAAGACCTGGAAAACTCCCTGCAGTCTCTCCTGTGGGCAGATAGACTGGCCCTGCGCCTCGTGTGCTTTGCCTGGGTTGAGCTGGCAGAAGTCTGGAGGAGCATCTGCACTCTCAGTTGGCTCCTTAGGACTTCACAGCTTTTTTCTGCTGTTAAAAGTCTGGTGGTGTGCCCGCCCCTGACATGACAGGAGCATGATCTCAGCTCAGAATCCGGAAGAGCCACGCTACTGCTGCTGTGGGCACACAAACCCACAGACAATGAGGGATTTAAAATCCTGTAGCCAGCAATTGTAATTTAACTGTCTAGGGAGACAGCCAAGCAACAAATGACACCCTCCCCACCACCCCCCAAAAATAATAATTTTCTTGTTACAGAGCAGATGAGCTCTTGCTGTAAGCTATCATTCCCTGTCAGAAGTTGGCTTATTTTCTGGTTATGCTACTGAGAAATTGTCTTGAGACCACATAGCACTAATCATATTCTATACCTAGAAACCTTACTGTGACGAAAAATAAGATTTGAAACAATAACACCGAAAGCATTAACACAGGTTTTCTTTTCCTTTCCTTGTCAACCACAGGTAATGCAAGTAGTGAAAGAACAGATAATGAGAGCTCTCACTACCAAGCCTAGCTCTCTGGATCAGTTCAAGAGCAAACTTCAGAATCTCAGTTACACAGAAATACTGAAAATTCGCCAGTCTGAAAGAATGAACCAAGAAGATTTCCAGTCTCGTCCGATTCTGTAAGTACTGTCTTCTGTCCCCACTCATTTTTGCATGAAAGGATTAAGAAATGTGAATGACATTTGTGAGCTCTTCTGGGGAAACCCAAGGAGGAAAGCTGTCCAGGGAGCCGTGCTGAAAAGCAGCAGTGCGGCATCTGCTTGAAGCGCATTAAGCTTTCTTCTGCTGGGAATCATAAAATTTTCTTTGAGTTCACTTAAACCAGATTCAGCAAATCTCTGCAGGGTCTCACATGGCTTATTTGTGTGAAACAAAGCTTTGACATTTCCTAGCTTAGCATGATTGTCAGCGTAGTTTTAGTGCTGGTAGTGGCTTTAAAAAAATTAAAATCCAAACACCACGACTTTGTCTTCTGTTCAAGGGCCTTTAAAAATTCCAAATGTCACTTCTCTCAGTGAGACAGGGAGAAGCCCAGAAGAAGAGGAGCCAATACACACTGACTCCACAAAAGAGTGGTGTTGTGTATGACTGTCTTTGTTTATGGCATTACCTTTGGTGTTAATGACAAGCAGTTACTTATTTGTAAATGATAACATTCTGGCAGCTAGCCAATGGCATTCTCATTTCCTTGTTGTTTACTGCAAAGTATCAAATGCTAATATCGCCACCACAGCTCCTTCCCGTTTGTCTTTGTTCTGTTTTATGAAAAACGGAGGCCGTACTTGGCTCTGGACCAGGTCTGGGCTTGTGGCTGAGCTGATGGCACAGGACAGATACAGACTCTGTGGTACACAAATGATGTGCTGAGAGTAGCAGGAACCTTTGAGATCAGCAGAGAAATGATGAGGGCTCCAGAAGCATCAGCTGAAATGTCATGAAATCCTGACCATGTTTCAAATGGAATGGCTCATGATTTTCCAAATCTCCTTTCCAAGGCAAAGGTATAGAGAAGGGTTTGCACCAGAGCGTTTCAGGATTCAAAAGCAGTATGTTCATTTTGATTTGTATCTAAAGGATACAGATATTTTTAGTACAAGCTCTGGGGACACATTCCTCTGGGGGCAGCAGGGCAACAGCAGAAGCATAAGCTAAGTAGAATTACGCACTTAAATTTTAATCATACCAATGTGGATCAAAGGGGGAGTGTTTCTTTTATGTTTTCCGTGTAATAGAAGATAGGACCTAATGGCCAATTAGAACTGATGTCACTCATAGTAATGCATCAATTTAAAAGCTACAAATAGTTCCAGTCAGTTTTGCATCATTACACTGCTCAGAAATCCCCTGCCAATCTGGTTCAGAGCCACTCAGTACTGCTAAGCTTGTCACCAAAGTTCCTCGTTTTCCCTGCTTCTCCTATGAGTCAACTGTTGAAGTATGATACAGGTCAACTATTTATATTCTCTTGCACCATTGCCTAGCCTCGTGAAACTTGCCAGTGCCTTTATTTGCAGCACTTTATTTGCAGTATCACTTCAGCTAGTTGTTGCCACAGTGCAGAATCTCCTTCCTCATTATGGAATGAGTGAAACAGCCAACACAAATAGTTAAAAGCAACTGAAGTGTTACCAGAGGCTCATTTCAGATTCAGGACAAAGGCTAAGCCTAAAAGCTATAAAGGCCAAGTAAATCAATAAGGTGTTTGAGCAATCACAACTGCATTTGCAGAGATTTAACTCTAAGCATTTGCATTTTGATTGCATCCATGATCACTTATTCTTGGCCGTGAAAAGAAACAGTTCCTCCATTTTCCCCATTGATTTGATTCCCTGTACTGAACTCTCTCAAATTGCATAGATGGCACAATTGATACAAGTAGAGAATCAC